TGTCTTTGCTGATTTTACTTAAGGAAGTGAGAAGGTGAACTGAACTGGTTGTCTCACACATCTGGGAGTAATTATTTGGAAGTAATGTGTGATGTTGATTTGGCCTAATTCGTTAACTCGAGTGAGAAAGCACGTAGTTTCCATCTAGATTGATAAATTAAAGTAACGTCCCATCATTTGGGCAGAGGCTACTGGCCCACTTCAGTTGAGCATGTGCTTTTTTGTTTTTGTTTTTCAGTTAGGAGGTTGGACTTTCACTGACTAGTCCACATTTTTCTTCTTATCCCTTTGTGACCAGTAATCTATAAGATGGTTGGCTGGTGGGTCTGAGAGACGTTGCCTGCGTTGAAGCTCAGTGGTGAGGAAAGAGGGCAAAGAAGCATATCACCAACTTGCTGATTGCCTTCGCTCAGCTTCCTTAGCGTCAGACACTAATCAGTTGCTAAGTAGCAGAGTGTGTGTGTGTGTGTGTGTGTGTGTGTGTGTGTGTGTGTATCTATCTAAAGCTCTTTAGAAACTGACTGATTATATGGATGCCCTTAGGGCTGAAAAGAAACTGTAGATTATGAGCAATCCTCATCTGACCTCAGAAAATGAATGCTCACTGAGTGATTTTACAGCACAGTGAATACACATGGAGAACCTGGCCTCTAGCCTTTTCCTGGGACACAGTCCCTCGCTCCATCCCTTACCTCCCCTGAATACCTCTTGACATGATTTAGGAGTAATAAGTAAACTCCTCACATAGCATAGTTGAGCTGTTCTTTTGTTTGTTTGTTTGTTTTGTTTTGTTTTTTGTAGAGACAGGGTCTCACTATTTTGCGCAGGCTGATCTCAAACTCCTGGCCTCAAGGAATCTTCTTGCCTCAGCCTCCCGAAGTGCTGGGATTATAGGCATGAGCCACGGTGCCCAGCCTGAACTGTTCTTTGTAATCAAAAATTCATACAGCCAAATATATTCTGCTGCCACTCAGAGAATCCCATTGGAGGAATAACTGGCAAGTGCTCAGTTTTCCAAACTGCAGCAAGAATTCTGATGAAGCTTTTTTCTGTGTAGTTCCAACTGCCCTTCAGAATTGAAATGTTTTCAGTTCTCTCAGCATTAATGTGTTTAAAGGAAAAGACCTATCAAGTCAAAATATGAGTATTGCCCGTCAGAGTGGTTGCTGACTTGCATTTACGATAGTGGCGGCACTGACCGATGGCAGCTCTGACCGAGATCAGACGTCCATATCTGACTGTTCTGCTTCTGTTTGGAGTGATTGGCAGCCAAAGATGATATAGAAGTGGAAAAAAATATATTGATGTATATAGAAGTGGATAATGGATTATATAGCCATGCTACTCCATATTTTCTGTTTTATGAGCTGGTGGGGGGAAGGCTTCATGATGTATAGACAGAAAAATACCTTTGGGTGGAGATGTTTTTGTTAAACTGCTGAAGTATATGTCCAGTCAATTACTGAATAAATCATGGGCCCATGCTCTTGCGAGCCTGATCCTTCTGTGACCCGATCCCCTGTGGTAACTTCATTCTGAGAGTCCATTCAGTTTGGTGCTGAGACTGTCACCTCCCAGTAGCATGCTGTTGGTTCACCTCCTCACCTGCAGGTGAGTCTCCATAATTACTGCAGTGTGAACGATGCTAACTGATCTGGCGCCCGTCTTGTCCAGCCACGGAAATACTCTTTTCCACAAGCCCCTCCCAGAGGGATGGATCTGCCAGGTGATGGAGCATGTTGCATCTGTTCCTCCCGGCTAGTCGGCCTTTTCTGGTTTGTCTGTTACCAAGAATTCAAGTGCTCCAGATAAATATAGGGTCATTTTGGGACAGTAGAGTTATTGTCCCAACTTGAGAATGGGACAGTGTAGCAGAAAGATATGA